AGCAGCGAGGCCGTGTCCGTGTGGAAGGTGGCTTTTCCAGACGGGCGATGTCATCCTGGAATAGCCATTTCCCTCTGCAGGGGCGTGTGCGTCCCCTTGGTAGTAGGAGGACTTGCCGTTCCAAGCCGAGGCATGCTGCAAGGGACACGGCATCCGGTGCTGCTTAATGCTGTGTATTGATGCTAGCAAAGAACTCCGGGCTTGCTTTCGTCTCTGCCTGGCCTGGAGCTGTCGTGCATACCCTGTGTAAGAGAGATGAGCTTTTATGCTTCTCTAAAATCAGCGACCGGAGTTCTTCACTAAAGTTTTACTGATTGCTATTAGGGGTCTTCTGGTTCCTGATGCTGAAAGCTTTGAAAAGCAGAAAAGCCGCCTTTCTTCAAAATGTCATAATACTTGGGATGAGCAGGAACAACACAAAAAAAGGGTTTTTTTTTAGTGTTGGAACTTCCTGTGTGTGAACCAAGGAAGTCAGGCAGGTTTTCTGCATTTTTTTAATTTAGCCAAGATAAGTGTTACCTGTATCATCCTTTTCCACAAAGTCTGCTTGCTCCTTATGATAAGGTCACTGCTTCCTGAGCTGCTAGGTAATGTTGCTGTATTTTTACTATGCTTGTGAAGAATGATGTCCTTAATGGTCTCCTGAATCCATTTTTCTTAATCCTTATAACAAACTTGAAACTGTTCTAAGTTTTCCAAGTCACTATATTCATAAGAACATAGTACCTTTCACAACACTTTCCAGCATGCTTACTGATTATTCAGAGTAATAAATAAATAGATACGTGTGCATGACTAAAATGAAACACTAGCATTTTAAACACTGATGACCATTTAAGTTTTTGTATCTCTATTCAACCTATGCCTCTTCTAGAGAAAAGAGTTAGTTCTTTTTTAAAGGACATGTCATATTGTATGTAGAGACTGTAACCATGGTTTATGAAAATAAATTTCTGTTTTTCAGGAAAAATTAGATATGTCGATGTATCCTGTTGAAAACATTAGAAACTTCAGTATCATAGCTCATGTAGATCATGGCAAAAGTACGCTAGCAGACAGATTGCTGGAAATTACAGGTAAGTGGTCTCATACTACCTTTTCTTGACATGTAAGGTGATGTGTAAGTTTCTGTAGCTTTGATTATTACTAAAATTTCTAGTATGTTTGCTCTTCTAGTGCCAGGTTGCCTGTGCTTTTAGGCTGCCAGTTGTGTAGTGTTACAGATGTGGATATGATGGACTTACTTTCTGGTTGAGATGTGCCTACAAGTAGGGGTAAGGAAGTGTGTAATTCACTCACGGAAGTATGTATTTTAGAAAGAGACTGAAGAGGAGTGTACTTCCTTGTTCAAGATGCTACTCCTGTCATTCCTGACCAATTGTCCATTAGACCAGTACATGGCAAGTTTATGATGTTTATACTGCCAGTGTTTGGGGTGGACAGAAGGGGACTGTGATGACCTAGGAATTCTGGACAGTAGTTTTCAAAAGTGTTACTGAAGCAGAAGAACTTCAGCTGCGTGTACTTGCTCTTGTGAGCAAGCCATAAACAACCGCCTTTGGTGGTGAAGCTCACTAGTACTGAAGCTGATGTGATGCTGCATAGTAAGTTTTAGAAATGTACAGCCCTATCTTGATTTAGATTTAGCGTGTAGAATAACTGCTGGTGATTAAGTGTAAATTCCATAGATTTGCAGCTGATGTATAGACTTGCTTTTTCCTTCACTTTAAGTATTGGTGAAGTTGTGTTACTTTCTTCAGAGATTTTTGTTTTGTCCTCATCAGAGTGTTTCTTGGACTTCAGTGGTTTTATTTCTGTGGTGATGTTGAGGCTAAGGGAAAACTACCCCCTTTTAAAGTGAAAGTGAGAAACAGAAGTGGTAAGGGATCTTCATAACTATAAATTACCCTGAAACTAGGCTTTCCTTTGAAGAGAGAGACAGAGGTTACCTTAGAGGGTTCTCTAAGGTAAGCGGTAAAGCAATTGCTGTGTCTCCCAAGGGGAGACTAATTTCAGAGCAGAGCTTAAATTAGCTACTCAGAAATACCCTTTGGAAGAGTCTTGCTTTTCTCATTTAAGGGGTGAGCAAAACAAAACCTGGGAGAGAAGCTTTTGATCAGTTTTTCTTTGATTACCTCATATGTGTCACTATGGGCAATTTCACCTGATGCCTGCGATAGAGTGGAGTTTTGAATTCAGGTCTGTCAAGCTCTATGATAATACTCTTTTTGCAATTGAGATTGGCATCTGTTGGAGCCATGGGCCATGGAACTACTCTCCAGTGGTAGGAGGCGAAGTTTTCTTTAAACATCAAAATTAATTAGGACTGAATGGAATTTTTGCTACTTCTTAATCCCTAGTTTAGACTTAACATGATGTTTTGTATCCTGCTTATTCAGGAAAGTATTTTATATAATTTCATGTGTTTAAAAAGAAAAAAAAAAAAACAAAAAACAAATGTTAAGAGTTGAAGCATAATTTTATTTCTAAATGAAAATTAAGTTTAGCTTAATCAGATGGAAAAGCTTCATTTGCAGCTGCAAGTCCCATGTTCTCCTGGTTAATGGCATTTTCAAGAATTATGTCTTTTGAGAGCTAATGTACTAAATGAGGTAATAAAACTGGTTTTTTTTTTTCTTTTAATCTTAGGAACAATTGCTAAAACAGACCGTAATAAACAAGTGCTGGATAAACTGCAAGTGGAACGCGAAAGAGGAATTACAGTTAAAGCACAATCTGCATCTCTCTTTTACAGTCATGAAGGAGTAAACTACCTCTTAAATCTTATTGACACGCCAGTAAGTTAAGTATAAATAGTGTTTAAATCGCACAAAGCTAAATGTCTTTATATTTTAAAAGTAGGAGATTTCTGGCTTTTTGTGTTTATTCAATTTCTTTCTTTTTTGTAACAATTGTGTTTTGGATGAACATATATACACATGAAAACATCATAATACAGAAATCTCTGCAAAGGACTCTAGAAATACCTGAAATTGTAAGCATTTATTTTCTCCACAGGGCCACGTAGATTTCAGCTATGAAGTATCACGGTCACTGTCTGCCTGTCAAGGTGTCATACTTGTAGTGGATGCAAATGAGGTGGAGTTCTTAATTTTTGTTTTCTACTTAGAATTTCAGCAATTTCTTTAAGTAAGCTAGAGAGAAGATTAGTTTTTATTTTTCCTTTAGTGTTTTTGCCCCTTATCTATCTCCATAAAAGTATTATGTTGCAGAAGAAGAGTAATAGGATTTTGAAAAAAATCTAGAGCCAAACACTTGTGTGTTGCTAGATGCTGCAGTTCCATGACATAGAAATAACAGCACAGCATTAGTGAAGAATCAGATCCTACTTTGTACAGAGTATGAACTTTGCAAATGACAGTCTGGAGGACTTTTGCTGTTGTATTAATACCCATTTGAATACCTTCAGTTTCTTGTTGGAAAGCCTGATGATTTATTCAGCCAACCACACTGTTAGTTATAACGAGTTGCAGTCATGTTTTTGATTGTCAATAATACAAACCAATACTGGCAACATTAAAGCTAAAGGACACTATAAGCTGAATGTGAATAAACATTCTGGAAACTTTAGAAGCTTTATATCCAGTAGATTAATAGATTCTTGACTGATCTTTCAGGAGAAGCAGGAGAGTGAGGGAGTAAAATGTCTGTAAGCTGATACTCTCATAAATTTACAGACAAAGTTGATACTAGGAGGGAAGTGAAATTAGAGATCTTAGTTATACTTTTATTTGTACAGTGCTAGGAACATTTTGAAGAATCAGTTACCAGACTAGAATATGAGGATTATGGGAACATGATTTTAAATATCGACACAATCTCACAAAGTATTTTGATGATAATTTTCTCTCTGGCATATTTATGTTTGGATTGTACAAGTGTCAAATTAATGCTACTTTTTTCCTTTCAATGATTATGAACACTTGTTCCTTCCTAGCTTGGTGGGCTAGTAGACTTCCTAAGTTTCGGTAATAAATATGTTTTCTAAATGTGCTGACGTTTTTATATTTAATGTGTATATATTTTTTATGTCCTATTTAAATATTATATGATTATTTGGTATTCTGTATTTGCCTTTTAGTCAGAATGGTCACATACTCAACTTTTTTGTTATAATTGCTAATGTTGCCAGCCTGAATCCTGGAGGTAATTTTCAAGATTTAGGTCTTGCATACTTCTTTTTTTTTTTTTTTCTTCTTCTTTATGTTGTCTGAAAAGTTAGGCCCATATATCCATTGTGAATATCCCCATATAAGTAATTTTCCACTTGAACTGTTGTAAACAAAGGCAGAGACACAAAGTAGCTTCTCTTTTTTTCCTCTTCTCCTCCCATCCCCTTCTGCCCTCTCTGGTCTGATTGTCACATTAGGCTTTATAATCTCATTCATTAGCATCTCTCTCTCTCTCTTTGTTTTTCCTTGTCTGGTACTTGAATCTGGAAGGTAATCTTCCTTTTTCTTCTAATCGGAGCTGTTTTGCCATCCTTTTGAAAGAAATGTGAGGTACAAACCTTATAATTTGTTTTCTTTTTTGAAAATAACTGTAAGGTAAGTTGAAGGTATGTTCTTGCCCTCTGGAGTAACTACAGTCTTATTACCATGATAAACATCCCTTTGTCTTAGTCCGTTTGTGAATAGTTTGTGCACAAAGAATCTGTTATAATCTTATTTATTCAGAAATAAATAACATAAACAAAAATATGTACTTTGTGCATAATGTATGCATAATACTGTGTAATCTAGAAATAATTGCATGTATGTGGTCAGACATGCAGCATTATTAGTTTGTCTACTTATATTTGTATTATGAGAAATGATACTTAGGAATGCTGTTTTCTTTCTGAGCAATGTGTATAATCAATAACTTATTTTCAGTCCCCCAAATGAAGGAGTGGATAGAATGGCAAAGGACTCTTATATTGTATAGTATGCCTTAAAAGAAAAAAAAAAAAAACCCAAAACAAAAAAAACCCCAAAAACTCAGGAAGATTCCATGTTCAACTTTTTTTAATGCTTATTTTCTAGGGTATTCAGGCTCAGACAGTGGCAAACTTCTATCTTGCTTTTGAAGCACAGCTTGCAATAATTCCTGTCATAAATAAGGTAATAAAGGTTTTAGAGTTTTATATTAAATAGTTCGGTTGTTTAAATGTATAGAAAACTTAGAAGAAATGTATCCTCAAATTAGAAATATATATAAATTAAAAATAGCTAGAATATAATAAGAACTTTGTGTTTCACTCATAAATACATAAAGGTTCCTTGACTTGCATATTTGGAAACTACAGTGCTGGATCATAAAGAAGACGTGATTGCCTGTATATTTAGCAGTTTGTTATTTTTCAGATTGACTTGAAGAATGCAGACCCTGAAAGAGTTGAAAAACAAATTGAGAAGCTGTTTGATATCCCTATAGATGAATGTGTAAGGGTAAGATCTCTTAAGTTTTAGAACATGGCTGATTGTATATGTGTATCTACTTTATTGCTAATGAAAGACGTGTACACGTAGTAAATCAACAGGGTGTTGCCTGTCTGCCTGTCTTTGTCTGACATACATGAATTTCTTTAAAGATTGTCTCCTGGAAAACAAGAGTGGAGAACATACTTCTCAGTTAAAAATTCTAGTATGTCTTGATGAATGGCATCAGATAGGTTTTAAATTATTTCTCACTGTGGGTCTGTAAATTGCTTTCACTTTTATTGTAATAACAATTGCCATTCAGGAGAGGGAAAAAAAAATGTTACAGAATAATTTATAGTCAAACTAGCATTTCATGGTAATAGTGTTCTAAAGTGTGCTTCAGAGTGCTTGTATGGGTAGTATTATCTGTGGCCACCAAAACTGTCTAAGAAAATGGGACACTGTTTAATAGATACTGAATGAATGTAAGACGTCTTATGAAATTGTTGTTGGACTTGTTTTAGGTTTCTGCTAAACAAGGAACAAATGTTGAAAAAGTTCTTCAAAAGGTCATTGAGAAGATTCCACCGTAAGTTCTGTATTTAGTTATGAAACCTTGTAAGGTTAATTAGGATACCGTGAGTTGCATCTATAAAGTATAACAGCACTAGTTTTGCACTTAATATTTATCTAATTTAAAGTCAATACTTTACAAAGAAATGTGGGAGAAATCTAATGTCTGAGCTGGTTAAGTCACTTTCAAATTGCAAATTGGAAAAAATGACACTTGAGATTTGAGATGCCTTTTAAAAAATGACTGTGTGAATGTCAGCAGAGAAGACTTCTTCATTCTTAAGAAGTGGGAGAGGAAAATTAATTCAGTATGAAATGAAAGATGAGAGTTGAGCCACTAAAGGTGATACTTCTATGAATGTTTATATAGCTTCCATGAAACTTTGTGCTTGAGGGCCTGTGTGTGCTGTTACTCCTTTTGAACATCCATTGTTAAAATGATAAAGGTAATTGAAATCTGCTGTGCTTATAGAGTTTCATATCCTGAACCCAACCTTTAGAATAGACTTTCATCTAGGAATTGATGACAAAGCTGCTGAAACTGTAGTTCAGTTTCAATCAGCATATTGCTTTTCAATCTTTTTTCCTACTATTAGCTAATAATTGTAGTCCTCATATTAGTTAATAATTACAGTTAAAAGAAATCACAATGAAAATCCGAGATTAGGTTTCCGTGAAAGATGGTGAAACCAAAATATCAGTGGACCCTCAGGTGTTGGAATGTAACTGTTGAAGTTTTGTTTCCCCCATAATATAATATTTTAAGCATCAGTTTCACCTGTTGTGAAATGGGTATGATGAACATGTATTTGGTTTTGTTCTATTTGTACTGCTGTTGCACACGGGAGAAAAAAATATAAAGATTTGCTGAATAACTGAAACACTGAAATAATGTCTGGTGTGTCTGTTTACTGAAAATTACTCAGGAGTTTTATCTGTTTTAATAGGGAAGCTTGTGGGGTGGGGGTTCTTGTTCATTTGATATTTCATGAAAAACACACTGTTTAATATATTGTTTTAATTTTTTTGTGACAGACCCCACTGTAATACTGCTGATCCATTGAAAGCCTTAGTATTTGACTCCACCTTTGACCACTATCGAGGCGTCATAGCTAACATTGCAGTCTTTGGTGGGGAGATTCAGAAAGGGCATAAAATTGTGTCTGCACACACGAAGAAAAGATACGAAGTTAATGAAGTTGGAATTCTGACTCCAAATGAGCAGCCAACGCATAAACTGTACGTAAACATTTATTTCAATGGAACAAATCATAAATTGGTATAAGATACAAAATCCTGCATGTTTCATTTTTGCTTTGAGTGGTAAAGGCTGGAAGATGTCTGGGTGTTTTGTTCTTGTTCTTTGGTGGTGGTGGGGTTTTATGATTATTATCTGTAATTTAATGCTCAGTGTCAGTGTTTTTCATTTTGGGCATGCTGAGGCAGAAACTCTTGGGGATTGCTTTTTGGGCACTGCTAGAGGGAGGAAGCCATTCTGTTGTCTATAGTACATGGAACATCTGGACAGCTAGTTCTTTAAGACTAGTGTTTGATATTCTTATTCAGCTGTCCAATTTATTTCTAGGAACTACCTTGTTTGAGAGTGGAAGGGAATGGGGCTTCATCTTAGTTATTGCTGCAGCATATTTTGAGGGTGGAAAACTTAAAATCCATGAATGCAACAGCTTCCAGAAACTGGCTCCTCATGGCAGCAGTGGGAAGAAAATCAGGTACTTAGAATTAGTGGAGAAGCTTTATCAGTTTGCACCTGAGTATGTGTTAATGACTTCCTTGGGAGATTCTTAGTGAGACTGTGTTACTGTATGTGGTGGGTTGAACCCAGCCAGCAACTTAAGCACCCATCCAGCCACTTGCGTGCTACCCCCAGCACCAGCAGGATGGGGGACAGAATTGGAAGAGCAAAAGTGAGGAGAGGCTCATGGGTCAAGATGAAGACAGTTAACTAAGTGAAGGAAAAAGAAAAGGTTGGGGGGGGGGCGATGCAAAGACAGTCAGTTACTCACCCCCTCCCACAAGCAGACTGACCACTAGCAGACAAGCTAGTGTACAAGCAACAGCCACCTTGGAAAGACTGCGCTCCTTGGTTTTTATTGCCGAGTGTGACATTCTGTGGCATGGAATATCCTTTTGGTCAGTTCGGGTCTGCTGTCCTGGCTGTGTCGCCTCCCAACCTCTTGCCCTAGCCTATTTGTCAGGGGGGACAAAGTGAGAAGTAGAGAAAGCCTTCATGCTGTGCAAGCACTATTAAGCAATAGCTAAAACACTGGTGTGTTGTCAACACCATTCTATTCACAAATCCAAGGCACGGCACCATGCAGGGCTGCTATGGAGAAAGTTAACTCCATCCCAGGCAAAACCAGTATGCTGTGTTTTAGTCTTTATCTACCATGGGTTCTTCTCTGAAACAGCATTATGTTCTGATGGAAGGCATTTGTCTTTTGTTGTTTCTGCCACTTAGTATATGAAACTGCCTGTGGTGGAAGCTGGGAACTGTTCTGGTTCTGTTTCTTAGAACCTTGAGAAGTTCCTTCTAGCTCCAGCTTTCAAACTGGGAGTAGCACTGAATTCAAAATCCAGAACTATAAATGTACCACTGTTTAACAGAAATAGAGCTACTTGAGTCAACAGATAGTTTGTCCCTCGAGATAAAAGTTCACAGCTTAGAGGAGAAACAACTTAAATCTGGCTTTTGGACTGTGTATGGGCTTTTAAGAGGGTGATTTATTTGAATTTCTGACTGGTCTATGTCAAGTGGGGAAAATAGCAGAAACCCTGATATTGCTAAGAAGCATGTCCATATAATGCCAATTTTATTTAGATATGCTGGACAGGTGGGCTACCTGATTGCTGGAATGAAAGAAGTAACAGAAGCCCAAATAGGAGACACACTGTTTTTGTATAAACAGCCAGTGGAGCCTTTGCCTGGCTTTAAGTCAGCGAAGCCAATGGTTTTTGCAGGTGAGGAGTAAACTGATGTGAAGTGGAATTACTTTTTTCCAGTATCAAGAGTAAGACAGCTATTAGAGCTTCTGAAATAATACATACTTATATTAAGAGTTGTGAGGATTAGAATTTTGGCAAAGTTAAGCTAGAGGCACATCATTTATATAGCTTTGTGTATTTTCCCTGTGACTCAACAGACAAGATTCATAATAGTTGCAGACTGGTTTTAGATGAATACAAGACTGACATGTATTTTGAGCCACAATTACTGCTTGTAATGCCAGTAAATGCTTGATAGTTGGAAAAGGTTGAGACTTTAAAAAATGAAGTCCATTTATTGGAATTCTTCATCTTGATAATCAGGTTTCCATAATTATTGTGAAATATTTTTTAAAAATTAGCAACTTTAATTTTTCAATTAAATAAGCAACATTTAATTTAAATTAGCAACAGTTAATTTTTGTTAACTATGGTAAACTGCCAAAGCTAATATTCAGAATGATTCTGTAAAATATTTGACTTTTTAGGTTTGAATAGTTCTGTTGAGCTGTTGCCACCAGTTTCAGTAACTACTACAAATTCTGTGGAAGATGGCTTTAGAAAGAAATAAATTCTGTAAATAACTTTCTAGACTTCTTGTGATGGAATGTGTAAAACTCACTTGAACTGTCTCATGGAGATTATGCTGTCTGTCAGTGAATGTAGAAAAGTGTAATCCTGTAAATATTTTTGTGTGCATTTGTGTTGCTTCTTGGTGTAGAGCAATCTACATTTTCGGAACACAGGGTGATGTGAAAAGTGGTACAGTAGAACCTATTTCAGGCAGTAATTATATAGACAGCTGCTTTTTATTAATTTTAAAAAAATATAGAAACTTTCGCAACTTTGATACAGCAATTTCTCTTTTTTTTTTTTTGCCGTTCACTCTTACCTTTGAAGGAACATCTCAGTGAAGTTTGTCTGTTTATTCATTTACGCTTAAGCTGTATGTTTACACTGCAGCCCTGCAAAACAATGGTTATACTCAATTGTGCATCTTTGACAACTGTGAAGGATTAGATGAGTACAGTATCCCTACCATTATGGTTTGAATGTTAATTCCTGTTTTTTTGAAGTAGTGTAAAACTTTATTGCATTTTAACTAATTTTGGGGAAAAAAAAAAATCCTTGTATTGTTTTTCACATTTTAAGAAGTTGGAACAGAAAGTAAGCTATTTGTGGTTTCATTACTGTGTTCACTGTAAAAGGCATATTTGAAAGCTAAGTATAGACTAGATAAAGCTCTCTGTCACATCACTTCTGTCTAATATGTTCTGACAGGAATGTATCCTGTAGATCAAACAGAATATAATAATCTCAAAAGTGCTTTGGAAAGGCTGACATTGAATGACTCCAGTGTAACTGTTCATCGTGACAGTAGCCTTGCCTTAGGAGCTGGATGGAGGTGAGGCTTTTATGCTGCTTTCATTTTTGGAACTGTTTGTAAATTGAGAATGCAGGCTTAAGTCAACTGAAGGTTGAATTAAAATGAATTAAAGATTAGGAGTTTTAATTCAAACTAATGGTAGGTAAAGATCAAAAGGATCTGATTTTCTTACGTTCTGTATTTGTGCAGAGTATGTAATTTGTTTTGGTTGATAGTTTTTGTTCTAAAATACTCATATTATTCAACTGTAGGATCATTTATTCTTACAGAGGTTGTTTGCTGTGCCTGATATTGCCAGACTAGCAGTGTGAACATGCTGGAGGGAAGAAAGACCCACTATGAAATTCCAGAGGGTATACAAATACTTCTACCAATAGGAATTTTTTTTTTTTCCCAGGCTGGGTTTCCTTGGTCTTTTACATATGGAAGTTTTTAATCAACGTTTGGAGCAAGAGTATAACATGTCTGTTATTTTAACTGTACCTACGGTGCCTTATAAAGCTGTTCTTTCCTCAGCAAAGTTGATAAAGGTATGTTAAATTTATTACAGCTTTGTGTAAATAGCAGCTTAAAAGCCTCCTATGATAACATCTACACTCTCTTTTTTTCTGTATTGTAGACTAGTACTTTATTTTACGGTAAACATTAGAAACACCAATATTTAACTTAAAAGCTTTTCTAACAGATTTTTTTAAAAAAATGTTAGCTTTCCTTCCCCCTTACACTTCAAGCACTCTCTTTATGTCTTACATCTGTCCTTGAAATAAAGGACACATTTCTTGTATTCTTTTAAGTGCGTACTGAGTGGACTGAGTTTAAAGCAGGTGAAATAATCTCCCATGCTTTAGCAGTCAGAAAACATTAAGCTTTTCAGGAATAGCTCGTAATACTACTGTAGACTGGCAGGGGCTGGTGAAGACAAGTGAATTTTTAATCGTGGTGAAACAGGCATGTACAAACTTCGTTGAACTGGGTGCAAAGAAAATTACTGTGAGTTTAGAGAGACAGTTGGAGTTAGGAGCACCTGCTGACAGAGAAGGCTGCAAATAGGTTGGCTTCGTATTATCTAACATGCACCTCTAAACACTACAGAAAATCTGTAAATTCCAAACAGCTGTACTTGCAAAGTGTAAGGCACAGACCCTTTTTCTCTCCAGTTATTGTTTTCTTGCTTAGGTAGTATAGCAGCTATGAATGAAGTAGTTGACACCTTTGGTGCGTAAGTGATTCTGGATTGCTGATGTGGGACACTGTTTTCAACCAGTGCTAGAATTTGGGTCATTGTTCAAGAACACTGCCTTGTCAGTGGAAAGTGATAGAATCACTTGCTTTGGTGTGTGTGGGGGGTTGTATGTACATGGTAAGAAACACGACCTTCCTATTATTCTTACTTCAGAAGGGTAACTCCAGCCCCTATCAGGATGTTGGACTAGAAAAAAATAGGTCATGAAAGCACTTGCACAGGAATCAAAAACTTAATTTCTAAGCCCCCTTTAGCCTTTAAGGGAGCCTGAACCCAAATTTCTACTTAGAGAAGAATGTCCCCATCACCGAACTCCAGAATACTTGGAGCAGGTCTTTTGCTGAAGCTGTGCCTTATACCTTATAGGATCAGGATGGAGTAAGAAGGAACATACTTACTCTACAGGCAAGAGAGAGAAATGGAAAGATGGACAGAAAGGCTTTTATATTTCTGTGCATGACTCTGGGTTAGTCCTAGTTCTAAGCACTTCTTCCATTTAAAATTCACTGGATAAAATTATTTTAAAAAGTTTTCCTAGTGAAAAGTAACTCCTATAATCTTTCTGTATAATAATATTTAAAGATGTGCTGATCAGGGACTTCTCTATGTGATGTAGAAATCTCTTTCAAAATTGTGCTTGGTATGAATTTAGGTTGCATAATTCACAAGTGTTTCCAAGGAATTGAAACATTTTTTAGCACTTTTTTCAGTACTATATTTGTCTCCTTTGCTACTCAGTGTACTTATTTGTAAAATTACAGTATCTGTTTTGTTTGCTTGTTTTCAGGAGTATGGTAAAGCAGAGATCACTATTATCAACCCTGCTCAGTTTCCTGATAAACTTTCAGTATCTGAATATTTGGAGCCAACTGTTCTTGGTACTATTGTAACACCTCATGAATATATTGGGAAAATAATTGCTTTGTGTCAGGTTGGTATATAGTTTTATTTTTGTCATTTGCATTTCTAAGCTCTTCGTATCATACTTAAAGTGAAGATACTAGATAGTAAGATACTAGATACTATTGAAGAGTATCTTTGATGGTAATTATTAAATATTTTGTGTGTAAAATTACTTCTGAATTACAAAATCCTCATACTGAAAGTTAGTGATGAGGCTCTGTGATAAGAAGTACCTGGTCAAGCATCCTGTACTAGACAAATTCATAGCCAGTTCTGTCTTCCTGAACAAATGGAATCTGCATCAGGGGAATAAGATCTATTGTTTTTTAGACATATATTCATGGAAATATGACTTCTGTTAACGCATAATGAGACTTCATATGTTTTCAGTACTTCACTGGAGTGCATTTATGGTAGTGATGGCTAAACACATTTCCTCAAGTGCATTTGAAATAGTTTTAACTAAAAATATTTTAACTGCCATGCATATTGTCTTTATGTGTTCTTCACAATATTTTTCTTAGCTTTTAACGCTTCAAAATACATAATACAAAGGAATACAGTACTTGTATGTCAGTACAGTGAAGTATAAGATCTATTAAAAAGAATTCCTAAAATAACTTTAAGAACACCCTTCTGGCAGAAAAGAAGATGAGCCTGCGAGTCCTACTGTGTAATACTCCGATGTATATGAAAATCTAATTTCAGTGAGATTTTATGGCCAAATAATTATACATTTAAAAGGCAGCAGTAAGCAGAAGCTGTTAAGGCTTTCAGAAATTCAGCTTTTAGAAGGCTAGACTTGAATAATTTGTCCAGTTAAGTTACAACCACTTCATTTATAATGATGCTGCAATTTGTTCTGGGACTTTAGCAAACTACCAATAAGAAAGTTACTTTGGGGCTTGAAGTACAGGAGACTGGATAGCTGTTTATTTTAATTTGCTTTGTATTTATTTGTAGAAAACTTCTGTCAAGGGGAACTGAAACAATTTTTATTTGTCTAGGATCGCAGGGCAGTCCAGAAGGATATGTTGTACATTGATGAACACAGGGTTATGCTAAAATACCTCTTTCCACTGAATGAAATTGTGGTGGATTTTTATGATGCTCTTAAGTCTCTGTCTTCTGGATATGCAAGGTAACTACCTCCTCTGTTCCCCTTCCCCCCACCCTTGACCCTGAGGGGTGAATGAAAAAAGATCTGAGAAGATGACATGGAAGGTCACAAGTGAAGAATATTTTTTTATGATGGTGCTGCAAATTGAGTCTTACTTCATCTTTAATGGATTAGATTCACTGTGAAAATGGATGGAAATAAATACGAAAAACACTGAAAGTGCATCACTACCTAATAATAATTTTCTTTCGTGATGCATTTATTTTTCAAGTGTGACCTATAGAGCCGCACTCACTCATCTAGATGAGTAAGTGCATTGAGTCCTTCTTACCACTCTAGATGGTTCTTACTTGTCTGAAGTGACAATGGGCATTTTCTATCAAAGGCATCACTGAAAATGTACTTCCTAGTGTATTGTTTCTTGGTGGAAAAGGGAAATAACCAAATACTGATTCTTTAAAGCTAGCAAAACCAATCAACAGACTATATTTAAAAGAAACAACACACTTTACTTACATGCTTTATTATGGGAATGAAGTAAATCATCTGTATTTTGAGACAAAATGTTCTGCTGTGGGTGGATTCTATAAATTCAGAGGCTAGAACAAAGCCCAGCTGTTTGTAAAGAGCCTTTGTTGAGTTGAATGGAAGGGAAAATGTTTTGTGGCAGATGGGCTTATGCCACAGGAGACTCAATAGCTCTTACAAACCTGGTATGTAGACGTGTTGTTAGTAAGATATATTACATTTTGACAGGAACTGGTATACCTAATTACATTATTCATTTTATAAGCATAAAAATTAATTTTATTCAAGAACTGAATTTGGTTTGAGTGTGTTTTTTCTTAAATATGCCTTATAAAGGTAAGGTAAGATGTGTTTTGCCTGGGTTTGTGTATATTTGAAGTAGAAGCATAAGCAAAAGTTGGTGGGGCAAGAAGGACAGGTAGAAGAAACAGGGGGATGGAAACTTTGAATTTTTACATCTGTTATATGAATCTGTTCACATAACTATGGTTTATCTAAGCCTATTAAGATAGAAGTACTTTCAAATACTCTCAATTTTTTTTTTTTTTTTTCCCCCCCTCCACTCTGTTCTGGTATTTGAGATCTGACCAGATTAGTCATACTGGCATTCTCCACACTTATACTTACTTACAAGATAGAGAGATAGATAGATATACATACACACACACATTACACACACATACCTCTGCATCTCCTCCATTTTAAGAATTTTTCCTCTGTTTTAAGAATTTTTGCAAACTGACACACAGACAGCAAGGCCCATACCTACCAAAGGAGAAATATGGTTTGGAAATGAAGAGGAAAACTTTGTTGTCAGAGAGAATGATAATAGGGGTCATGTAAAAAGTCTGTCAAATGAGAGGATGAAAAGAAAACAGTCCAGTGTTAGTGTTTGGATTGTGTGACCTCAGGGATGTTTACTGTTCAAAAGCTGTGTTGAAGGGTTCTGTTGCCTGGAGCTTTAAGCAACTTCCAGCTGATACGAAAGAAGTTTCTGAATAAACTTTTTAAAAGATTGCAGTAAGTATGTAGATTTTTTGATTGATTTACCTTGCTCAGTAGCTGGAAGAGAGGGTGATGTCTTTTGCTGCCTTGGAGATGAGATTTATTTGCAGTAAATTTCTAGTCCAGCCTTGCATAAGGGAGATGTACTGAGAGACTATTAAAAACTGTGTTTCTATTTTAATAAAAAGTTCAAGTTTGTTTATTAATAAATGTGTCTAAATTTTATGGAACAAAGAATGCAGAATGTAATTTTTACAAAACCATCACTAACTTTTAAACTGCTTTTGTTTAGTTTTGATTATGAAGATGCAGGATACCAGGCAGCAGACCTTATCAAAATGGATATTCTTCTAAACGGAAATCCAGTTGAAGAACTGGCAACGATCATACACAAGTAGGTTGACTGGATTCTCTATTCCAGAGAAATAAGACTTCCTATTAATACACAATGAAAACATATCTGTCATATATTAGTAATACATATATATGTATGAAAACAGCTTTGAGGATTTTACCACATCACTTTTGGAGATGATCTGAAAAAGAGGCATTTAAGTGCTAGGTATAATATTTTTGTGGTAATGTAGGGCAGGGAGGAGAATGAAATGCAGAATGCCAGTCTTTTAAGGTCTGGAAAAATTTAAATACAGACCAGTCTAGGAGATGCCAGATGAATCGTTTATGGCACTTACTATTTACTACTGAAAAACTGAAAAAAAAATTATTTTTATGCTTCTGTAGAAGTTTGTTGCTATCTTGTCTCCAGCTAGTGTACTAGGAGAATGTAAATATTTACTGGATGTAATTACATCAGAAATTTTTTGCTAAAATGATTCCGTTTCTGTAAGTTTGTCAGGAATTACTGGTTTGCTGGTGAGAATAATGCCTTCCTGTTCCCAGCCTCTCCCCTTGCTTTCTTCTCAGGAAGTCTTTATAAGGCTCCTTTCTGTAACTTCAGCATCCCTTTCCAGATTCTGAGATCAACTTTTTGGTTGGGTTTTTTGTCGGGGTTTTTTTTGGTCCTTCTTAAAATGCTAACTTGTAGTTGCTAAAGATTTGTATATTTTCATATTTTTTACATATCTGCAATCCTGAAATCCTTGGAATTCCTTAGCTTCAGAAGAGCGATGTAGAAAAATGAAACCCTTACTTTGTTCAGAAAGATCATGGGGCTGGAATGGAATAGCTCTCTTGTATACATTTGCTACTTAATGTATTTTTCATAAATAAGAAGTGTTTAGCAATCTACCTGCATCTCTTTGCTTTGAAAAGATGCAAAATGGAGTGGCCAACCTTGCAAAAGTTAGTTATTGCTTTAACGTGTTTCTTGATCAGTTTAGCTTGTACCCCTGAACTGTTTTGCTCACTAAAACTAATGATAAGCCTTTCTTTTGGCTTTAGATTACAGATAGGTTTTTTTTTTTTTAACTTGTAGACAGCATTCATTCTGCTTCTGCTTCAGTTATTCTCAGAGTCCCCTCACTGTAAATAGACTATCTATATAAAAATAATTATGCTGAATTACATTTATAAAGAATTACTGAGATTACTGTATGCTCAGTGTTAAGCTAGCCATTATTATTTGTCCTAATTATACAAATAAATACCTGTATCTTCTAAAACTGCAATGCTTAATGAACATTACTTAAGTACTTCATGCTTAAACTGTTTGCTTTATACAGGTAGCAGGGAGTCACATTATTGCTACATGAAAACATGTAAAACTGTTTTCAGCTGTATGTTGCTAAAATCTGTTTGCTAAATATGGATGTTTTTAGAGAGAAGAGACCCATTTGTTTTCAACGGCTTGTGAAAGTATCTGTTTAGTAGCTTCTTTAGACCTTTTGTCGTTTTCTCTTTCCAAAATATGAAGCATATGCAGATACTGAATATAGTTGGATAATTTTTATTAGCAGATGACAAAGGTTTTTTTTTCTTGTTATGTAAAAACATGTTTTAAAAATATTTCTGTAGTATGTAGATCTTCTGACCTTTCAGGCCTACAATCAATGAAAATCCTCTTTGACCTTCCAGTTTAAAATTGCATTTAAAGCTGTGACAGTATTCAAAATGGCTTCAGTGTGATAGATAATCAGGGTGTTTGTAATAAATATTTTAAATTTATTTGAAGACCTTCTGTAATACAATCTTATCACCTGTTTGTATGAAACAGATAACATACAGAGACCACTCATTAGATGTTAAATTATGATCTGATTAGCTTACCTTTTGAGTTAAAAAGAGAAAAACCTTTACTAAAATCCTTTTATCAAGCAGTTTGGTCTATGGATATATTTTTGGGGTTGTATTACTCTTTCTGAAAACACTGGTGACTTTCTTTTTCAGTGATAAGGCATATGCTACTGGTAAATTCCTGTGTGAACGTTTAAAAGATGCTATACCTAGACAGTTGTTTGAAATAGCCATCCAGGCTGCTATTGGCAAGAAAATCATTGCAAGAGAAACGTAAGTGAAGCTCTTCTGTTTCCCTCCCCACCCTTATTTTAAGCTACTTAAAATATGGACTTTTAATGTATTGCCTAAATAGTTTTACACATTGCAGTACTTGGATTTTACTGTAAAGTCATATTTTTCTTGTATGTGCTACTGGCCTTCTGGGGGGGGGTGGGGAACAGACTAAAACAAAATATTTGAGCTGTGACTATGACTAAGGACTTTTTAGAAATTTAATTAAAAAGGAAACGTATTTTTATTTTAAATTGCTTGTGGATAGCATTGCACTTAGTGGGTAGAGTATAACTTGCAACACCCATGTGTCCACTGCCTCTTTGGCAGTCGAAAAAGTTTCTTACTACTGAAAAAAAGTAGCTAGTTGTGGAAAAGTTTAACCTCTGGGAGAATCATAAAAAAAAAAAAAAAAAATCCAAAACCCAACCAACTGAACTGTGCTGTTCCAAAGGAAATACGTTGCAAGCTGAACACACAACTGTTTCTTAGCAGCACTCACTTCTTTTAGAGCAAACTGTTTCACTGATGTTGTGTTTCTTGTCACATTTTTGTTGTTGCTGTTTAAATAGGATTTAAATTGCGGTAAAAGAATTAAAGGTAGGAATCCAAGCAGAGGTGCTGTAAGAATTTGTGTGTACATATCTATATACACACATATGTAACGCTTACTGTGAATCATAGCAGAAATCCTAGATAAAAAGGCAAGATTGTAATTTTTATGTACATATTATACACCCTAAGGAATATTTCTAGAATTGAGAAATGTCAATTAAGTCTTCTGTTTAGAACTCTGTCTTCTGTATACAAAATATGAAAATGTAAGATGCATTGGAATCATGACAAAACTAGCAGAAAAACAATGCTTAGTATTTTGACAACTTGGTATTTAGCTTCAAGTATAGGAGGTGTTCTAATGTGTTAATGTATGTATGTTATTTTATTTTACAGGCTGAAAGCTTACAGAAAAAATGTTGTGGCAAAATGTGTAGGTATTTTTTTTCTTTTTTTTTTTTGGTTCTGTGTGTAAACAGAGTCTTGCTAATGTGATAGGCCTATCTTTTCCTAGAAACCCAGGAAAAACACGTTCTGCTTGTGCTCCTAAGTGTCAATGGAATATCAACAGATACTTTTAAAGCTTTTTTTTTTTTAAATTCAACTCATAACCTCTAGCTGCAGCTTGCAGTAAGAGTGGATCAGAAAGAGTAATGGCTTTTTCAAAATTACACACTTACAGTGAACTCAACAGAGTGCATCTGTTCACTCCTCTCACCATTTTCTAATAGTTGTAGACATATAGTAAATGTGTGTATACACACAGGTGTGTGTGTACAATGTCATGTATTTCTTCAATTGTTTTTTCCAGGTGATTTAAGAAACTATAAAAGTGCTTTTTTAAAGACTGGCTGTGATTAGTCTTTCACTTGGGTTTTCAGTAATACATCATGAGAAGGCCTTAAATATGTAATAGTTGACTATCAACAAGACTGGATAAAGCTATAGGAAAAATGTGATGCCTCTTACTTGTCCTAAGCTCTCTGAAGTGAACGTGTTGGGGAAAAAATTAAACAAGTGTCCCTTTCTCACAACTATTACAGAATTCTTCTGCTAGGAACATATGTGGGATGGTGTTTGAACATTGTATAAGGGTTCAGTTAACTTATCTAGACATAAGCACCTAGTGCTAGTTGAGATGCCCCAGTGTATCTGAGCTGGCATTGTGCTGTTGTTCCAAGGGGATTTGGATATCGTGTAGGTTGTGTCTAATGTCAGCCATGCTTATGTGAATGTATATATTTAGTCAACTGAATTCAACCCTCAGTGAACATGCATACTTGCTCCATTGTTAACTAGTGGCCTTTGGGGATAACTATCTGGAGTATAAAATCATATTTTGTCATAATATAACTAGCCTTTCTGACTGTTTTTAAGCCCTTGAGTTTAGTGTTGCTGAAATGTACTGTAGTTGCATTTAAGCTTACTAAAATACTTTTCTTTTTCATAGTATGGTGGAGACATTACAAGAAGAATGAAGCTTCTAAAGAGGCAGGCAGAAGGGAAGAAGTTGATGAGAAAAATTGGCAATGTGGAAGTACCAAGAGATGCCTTTATACGTGTGTTAAAGAGACAAACTGACAAATAGAGACTAGTAACATGCAGCTGATTATTCTCTCCACTTTTTTGTAGACAGTAGTGTGATGAGCTAATGTATAATTTAGCACTGTGAGAGGGAACGTATTTGACTAAGTGGTGTAAATTAAGTATATGTGGGAACATAAATTGAAAGGACTGTGTACTTAAAATGTACAGATACTTGTAGATTATTATGAAATTAAAGTTATTTAATTTGACTTAACTGAATCGAAAAGTTTTCACTATTGTTTTTCATTGCATTTAATTGTTTTCATGCTTCTAACGCTTAAAATTTAACATAATTAGGTTTTATTTTTGCATTGGAAGTCTTTGTATGAGAACAGGAACAATGTGGCAAAGTTTCTAAAAATAATTGAAAGATGTATAGAGAAACAATGCCTTTTTTTTAAAAAAAAAAAAAAGTTTGTACTCTTCCGTCAAGCTACTTCCTGTTTTACTTTCTAAAGTTGCTGCTGTCAGGCAATCATGATGATGTTGGGAAATCACATCAGGAAAAACTAATCATGACCTTTTTTTTTATGTACTAGAACTAAGTCTTTTAGCCTTAGTATAGTAATCGGAAGAAAAAAAAGTACAAATCTGTAGTCCAGTTCTGAGAGGACTTGTACATGATGTCAGTTTTGAGAGCAAGGTCTTTAAATGAACTCGTTTAGTACTGTTACTCTTAGAACAGTAAATGAAGTTAGTTAATTTTTGACACAAAATGACCTGATTCTATCTAGTCACATACTTCTCCTGCCTGCCCCCCCCACCCCCAAACATACTTTAAAATCTTACTAAGAAAAAGGAGAATAAAATGCTACAGTAGATGTGCCAGGCTAAGTTAGAATTTACTCATTTACCCAAGAACCCGTAACTTAAGACTTAGAGTACTTGAAAATGCTTGCCTTGCCATTTAAACAGTGGACTGCAGGGTAACAGGTAAAGCTTAATGTAACTTACAGGACTCATATTTTTAGTAGCTGACATGTTTGGAAGGTACTGTCATTGAAGTATTGGTATTTCATAAGAAAGTAATTGGAAGTATCTTAAGGACTGAAATGATAGAAACAGTATAGTAGTATAAAAATAATGAAGTCATGAATTTACAAGGCCTAGAGTAGAATTCTACATCCAGTAGCATTCATAACTTAGAAGAAAGTTTAACAACAGAAGCTAATTGGAGAACAACTGAAGAGTATTCATGAGAAGAGGCAGAAACAGTCTCAGCCCCAGTCAGACAAATATGGGTACTACTCTACCAGTATTTAAACTGGCCTATGTTTCACAGACGTGCCAATGGTTACGAATGGTCTTATGTGTCCTGAGAGAGCACAAAAAAGGGCTTTAGTTGTTGAGGGTGGCAAGAGAGGCAGAAGACTGAAAGGTGCTCTGGAATAAGAAAAAAAAATAAGGAGGTGCAAGAAGGAAAAGCTTTTAGAAGTAGAGGGATATAAAAGCTATGGATCTCCACTCATGCTTGAACCTAAATTCTACTGTTTCCTCAACAGAATTCCCAGTTTTGCCACAAGATGGATCATGATCATTAAAATAAAAAATGTGCTTGAATTCCTTTAATAGTAACCTAAATTCAAGATTATTTTTAGTCTGACAGTTTTTGAAATATAAGTGCTTATTTTATAAAGCCAAGTCTTTATGTAGCTGTAAAGACTAAAAATGGCAAACTAGTGTCATTTAACCCCAGTTGGCAACTAAGCACCACAGAGCCGCTCACTCACCCTCCTCCCCTGGCAGGATGGGGGAGAGAATCAAAAGAAAAAAAGTAAAACCCATGGTTTGAGATAAAGGCAGTTTAATAGGACAGCAGAGGAAGAGAAAGTAATAATAACGATAAAAGAATATACAAGTGATGCACAATGCAATTGGTCACCATCCACTGATCAGTGCCCAGCCAGTCCCCAAGCAGCGATTGCAGCCCCCTGGCCAACTCCCCCCAGTTTATGTACTGAGCATGATGTCATATGGTATGGAATAGCCCTTTGGCCAGTTTGGGTCAACTGTCCTGGCTGTGCCCCCTCCCAGTTTCTTGTGCACCTGGCAGAGCATGGAAGCTGAAAACTCCTTGACTAACATAAGCAGTACTTAGCAACAACTAAAACATCAGTGTGTTATCAGCATTCTTCTCCTACTAAATCCAAAACACAGCACTATGCCCACTACTGGGAAGAAAATTAACTCTGTCCCAGCTGAAACCAGAACATAAGGCTAATAATGCATTTTGTGGGTCAAATGCTACATGTAACAGCATTCTCCTGAAGCACAGTCTTTTAAACCTTTTCCCCACAATGTTGCATTACACTTCAAAAATGCAAGTGCAGAAGTTGAGTCTGAAATCTGAAAGCCTGTTTTCAATCTGTGCTTGTCCAAACTACTGTTAAGAACTGAAACATAAGGCTTGGCTTCCTACGCTGCTCAAGACCAACTCTTCCAGCCTTTTGTAAATTTCATAGAACAGTCCAGGTTTGAAAGGACCTTGAAAGACCATCCAGTGCACCCTTTATGGGAAAGGTGAGCTTTAGATGAGATTATCTAGCACCCTGTGCAATCATATCTTGAAAAACTCCAGCAGTGGGGACTCTACTACATCCCTGGGGAGGCTGTTGCTTTAATGAACAATTGTTCATTAGGGTACCTGCCTATCATCTATCTAGGTGAAAACTTGCTGATGTTACGCTTTGTTGCACTTTCTCCCAGTGAGAATTTTACACAAGGGCATACTCTGCCTCACCCCACAAAGAGTCTAAACCAATAAACTCTTAACTTCCTCCTTCAGTAAACAAAGGCACAAAACTACTAACCTCTCCATGAAACCCCAAAGTATTTATTCATGGCAGATTTTCTATTAGAAACAAAACAATTCTGACATTATAGATTTATATTTCAGTTTTACTTCTATTCAAAGTAGGAAATAACATTCCTTGTAACAGCTCATGTTTATAATGATACAATGACAGGTAACTATTGCAAAGTGATTAATAGTTGACTTTAATACATGATCATTTAAAGTTGCAGACATATTCCTGCCAATTAACCTCTTTTCAGGCATTTAATAGTAACACCAATGGTACATTTAAACACGTACCTCTAAGAAAGGAGTATTCATAAAGTTCAATTAACTATAAAAATCCTAAAGTAACTTGAAATATATGAGAAGAAACAGTGGGGAGTAAGTTACAACTTTCAAGAATTTGGTGCATTTTTAGGCACTGTTTCTGTATTTTTTATTTGCCTGAATTGTACAGCAGGACTTGAGATGCCCAAAAACTGTTTAAGATAAATTTAAGGCAACCAAGTGCAAAAGCTCAGTGTACATTAGATATATGTAAACAGAACATTTCATAGTAGAAATTGTACAACTATTACAAGTCCATAGTATTGACAAAGGCCAAAACCATTCTGCCTAGAGACACAGATGCAAAATGTAGTTATACTAATCAAGCCAAAAATTACAAATTCCTGGAAATAAAATACCAGTTTCTCTAATGCAAGGCAGATGCATTACATTGCTGTGCTAGAATAAGTGCTCTGCTTCCCCCCCCCTACATAACATGCAGTCTCCCACAGGTTTGTTCTATTCCATTTAGTTACATACCAGCCAACAACAGAGCTCTACTGTTAAAGCAAAACACACAAACACAGAGACGGAATGTGAATGTACAGATATTGGACCTTTTAAAAAATACAGTACCTAGGATTCACCTTTTTAAACAATTTTCAGCATATTGCATAGCAGTGAACTCATCTGCTACCTAAAACTGCTGCTGTTGACCCACATGGAGTTCCTCTTCAATTCTTCTTTCAGTTTTCTTTCATACTGTACAGTGGGTCCACAAGCTTATTGTGCACATGCATTAAACCTTGGGGGGAAAGCAACAATGCCAGCTTTACATTAGTTATACTTTTTCAATGCATCTTTCTATCCACGCTTTTATTTGGAATTTGCTTCAAAGTATACATTTTAAATAGTACACTGAAGAGAATAACAATGGCTATTTAAAAGTAGTTTAAAATCAGAAGTTAAAGACAGCATATATACTCCTGTATCACTTGAATACTATTGACACCTTCTGTATAGTGAGCATAGACAAGACAGCTCTCTGATAACACACCTGTCAAAAAGTAGATCTGGAATACTTCCAAATGAAGTGAATACACGCAATCCGCCCATCTTTCCTTTGTATTAAAAACTGCATAGCAGCAATGTAAAATTCCTTCATACCACAACTTGTCAATAAAATCAGATGTACACATAGTGATACTTTTACTTAAAGCTTGAATTGCAATGTTCTAGCATTGTGGTATTACTGTCTTTGTTATTAATAGTGTACTTGTGGTCCTAAACAGGCAAAACCAAACTAAAAGTATCCACACTGTTAATGCAGATTCAGAACTTCAGTAGTTTAACTGCTTTCTATTCTAGCTGGGCTTTTTTTGGTCATATACAAGTCATCCATAGTTGTGATTAGGGGAGGAGTTTCCCCCCACCCACCCCATTCAGATACTTTAATTTTGGAAGGTGCCGAAAAGATTAAAAATGGTGCTGTTTGCTTTATTTTGTTACAACTTAGTAAAAATGTTACCTACATCTAGGTATGTATGACATTCAGTCACTGGTATGTTTTTAACCTCATTTCACCTTAAGGACTAATAAACAGTCACTGATCAGTGTTCACTATCTGTAAAGTAAAAGTCCATTTTAGCACCAACTAAAGAGTAACTTCTAAAATTACAAATTTAAGTAATATGCAACATTAAAAGTAGAGAATTTTTCTTCAAAACCATTAAAGAAGTCTGACAGTAGTGCACATTCTAGTGATTATCTATGGCAAAGAACATTCAAATACCTTTGCTACATGATGCATCTGGTGGCAAACAGCGCTAACTGCAGCAACATGAAATTTGAGTAACTATACAATCTGAGGTCATTACTGCAGGTGACCACAACAAAAGGCATTTGATGTAGCATCTATTTCTAATCACTGTGTGATTATTTAATATAAAATGCAGACATTACTATTTCCTTCTCCAATTAGTGAAGGATTCAGCCATACTAAACAGCCAACACACCTATAACCAACTCAAGAATCCAGCTCATTACCTCTAGAGGTAGTGACTTAGCTTCAGATATTTGTGCAAAAAGAAAAAAGCACACTTTAGAAGGCAACATAACTAAAGAAAACAGTTTCTTAGATTTC